AAATGATAATAATAATAATAAAATAAAAGACAAATTAATTAAATAATAATAATGATCAAATTAATAACGAATTAATAAAATGATAATAATAATAAAATAAACGACGAATTAATAGAATAGATTAGTTTTAATCCATGTAAATATTTATTCAGGTCTTCTTTAAAGTTTCATCCTTTGTGGGCAACACTCATATAACAACATTCATTGCTTTATGGCAATTAAATCTGAAAAGGCATGATGCCTTAAGTTTAAATAGAAATAAGTCTTTATTTAAGGAAGATATTGTCGTTTGAGAAAAAATTCCTTCTGTGGAAATTCGCAAGTCATTTTCATTTTTATCTTTTTGCTCCAAGGGTACTGTCGTGAATTAGGCATGATACTATTTGAATGGAAAGTCGCTTGAAATTATAATGTTTCTGGTACAGGGTGTCCAAATAAACATGGGAATTCAGTGACGAATTCAATATCGTCTTTGTTATGAATTAGCATTGCAATGCCTGATTTAAAAGACATAATATTATTACGTCTGCGAGAGCTAATTTGATGAAAACGGTAAATGGCTGTAAAGATGTGTGTATAATGTCTCCGCAAGACGAACAGTGAAGACGGACAAGTTTACTCTGTTTGTATTCTGCAATTTTCTTGTTTTACAACAACAACTGTATGCAGTCAAAACACAAACAAATTGTAAACATAGCAGACGAATATCTTACAGATTATACAGCTTTTTCATCCTCCCCTTCCTAACCCCATCTATTAGTTTTTATTGTTCCAAACCCCTCTACACAATAAGTCAATGTGAAATGTTTTACAACAAAAAGGGAGGGGCAAAGTCCCCCCCTCCCCTTTTCCAATTACCATGAAGTCACCCGAACCCAAAGACTTCCATTTTTACGGTATTCATGTCAAAAAAAAATTTCAGTTATTTAAACAAAAAAGATATTTAGCTGTGAAGTTTATCAGAAATTTTTGTATTTTTGCTTTTTAAACTTTATTGTAATAATTCCTGGGAAAAAAATATTATAATTTTAACCTGACTTGGAAATTTATGAATTGCGAGAAGTAGTTGAGCTAGCTATCGGGATCAACTATTTTTCTCTCGCTTAAAAATTTTATAACAGTGCTAAAATTTCAGTTAAATTTTTAGAAATAAAACTTGGGTTTTTTAGCAAATAGGGATATTAAAAGTATGAATTAGATATGAAAGTGTGCACATGAAAAAGAAAAAATCGACACAGCACAATTATAAGAAAAGTTAGAAATTATATGTTTAAAACTCTGCGTCATTTAACCTTGTAAATATCTTTAAATATAAATAATGTAAGTAATACATTTAAAATTGACTTATCGTGATTAAATAATGCTCGGTGCCTTACAAATACTCAATTTTATGTTATTATTGTGATAATCTATAGTTTTTATTTGTTACTTTAATATTGTGAAAAGAATAAAGAAAGTTAAATGTATTTGTTTCATTAAAACCAAAATAACACATTTTCCAGAAATAGAACTTCTTGGTAAGTATCCTCGTGCTCTGTTGTTTCCCGCCAAATTAGTTTTCTCAAGCCAAACCAAACAATGTTCTATTTTTTAGAGAACACGCAATAAAAATGACTATTTATAGCCCTACTGGTTAAAGGTAGGTCAGGTAAAAAGTATTTGAGCCAAAAACTTTACTTTTTCGAGAACCCTTGAGAAAAGTAAATGTTTTTGGCGAAAATGTTAACACTATCAAAATAAATAAATGCACAGAAATGGCACGTTAACTATATAACATCTAAGTTTAAAGCACATATTAAAGAAAATCCCAAATATTAATACTGGAAGATGATCATTCAAAAGAAAGCGGGAACTTCATAGCATAAAATGTACAAATATTGAAAGGTGTACTCAGCTGGGGTGATATTTTACTTTTAACCTCATAAGAAAATAGTGAAAATTTTACCCCAGCTCAGCTGGGAATATATGGGTTTCAGGATATGTTCACCATAGATTAAAAAGAGGCCACCTAGGGCATAAAAAATGAACATTATAGTCCCCAATAATACAGTTGTCTAATAAAAAAACTAAATTTTCCAAATTCATACTTAGGCTTAGAAGAAAATTTTTTTTTAACGTTCATGAAATGATGAAGAGAATGTTCGTAATATCGCTTTTTGGTAACATCGATGTCTTAAATTTGCTAGGGGAATTTAGTTTTACTTCTTTGAAGAAACGTATCAATAATTTTTCTTTTTATGAACTATAGTGTACTTTATTATTATTACTCACTTCATCGTGAATTTTATAATGAACGTGCTATAAAGTAATCAACGTGCTATAATTTTAAATTAGCTGTATATTATAGCATGTGTGCTATAAAGTTTTGATTGGTTCCCGGATTTTCTCCAAAAAATTTAGGATATTTCCCAAAATATTTCTCAATTGAAATGAAAATAAAATTGGAATTAACTTTATTTTTTGACTTCTGCTTTGTTTCAAAACTTATTTGATCTAGAAATAGCCATTGAAATATTTGATCTAGAAATAGCCATTGAAATATTTGATCTAGAAATAGCCATTGAAATATTTGATCTAGAAATAGCCATCAAAATAAGACAAGTACACAAACGTTTCATAAAATTACCTATAACACTAATAATTTGGCACGACGTGCTATAAAGAAAACTTTGCAGGTATTGCAGTACCTTCGTGATTTGTAAAATATGAATTCTAATTTTTTGAAAAGAACGAAGACGACATAAATTCTACAGTTTTCCGTTTCCTACAGTAAAATCCCAGATCATATTAGATCGTGTATAACTCAAAATTGTGTTATTAGGGAATAAGCAGAAAATTTAAAAACAATGAATCATTTTTTCAAAATGTTAAAGGTTTCTATAAAAGTTTTCTTGCAGAAAATACTAGGTTTTTCGAGGATAAAAGTTAAACAACATAGTAACTGTGAGAACAGCTGTTTTAGGTCGAAAATTCTTCAGCCAGTGTGATACTGTGTGAGTGGTAAAGAAGAAGCTAGGATCTAAAGGTAAAGATTTTAATGAATGATTGGGCCAGTTAGATGGAACATGACGATTCTAATAAATCAGGAAAGAAATTGAGTCTTTCACACTAACTCTGCTTTTCTAATCCCTATATCTTTTAACCCCAATCGTGTATACCTTATATATTTCATACTATAGAATTCTGTTTGATCCAATGAAAGATATCCAACATCAGGTTTCTAAGATATAGGACTAAGAAAATTTGAGTTTATGGCAAAGACTCGAATCCTTTGTTAAAAAAATAAACAAAAAGTAAATGATTGGTTTATAAAGGAATGAAAAGAACCGATATAAAGAGAACAAAAAAGTATGGCAAAAGGATGAAAGAGAGGACAAAATAGCAAAGGACGCGTATTGCAAAATCTCAAATAATTGTAAACAAATGAACTTGCAGATTCTCTTAGACAAGCAAACGCAAAAATTAACATTTGCAAATATGAAACCTGTTATGCAACAAAAAGTGCAAAGAAATTTAAAATTCATAATATGCAAAATAATGAAGAAAAAGTGCATTTTATTGCGTTGAATTTGATAGAATGTCTAGACTTTCGCTGAACGGATGTAAGTTTAACGACGACCAGAAGTTTCTAAAAGAAGTGTTTGCCGAAAATGAAAGTGAGCTCTAATAATAAGACTAACCAGCGAAATTACGTACCTATAGTTACTACGTTTTCAAAGGTTTTGATTATCAAATTATAACTTTTGGATAGTTTACTATTTTGAATATTAACACTGGCACTCTAGTATGCCGAGTCCATTAGCGCCTGATCCAATCAGGGTTCAGTCATGTGTTTGTTGTCTATTCTGAACCAATAGAAATTGCATAGCTGTAACATCTATCTTTCTATCTAGCTCATTATCCAATTAGAGTTATGAATCCTTATATTGGCGCTATCACTAAATGGAAATATTTACTTCTACTGAAACTATAGTTCTGGATGTTTAAAAGAAATAAAAGTTATCTATAAAACCTTTTTGTCTCTGAGTCTTGTCGGTACATCCAAACGGTTTTTATTATTCTATTTATCAAGTAAAAAAATCAAATCTTTGCTTATACTTAGACTAGATTGATCCATGCAAGCTAAATTGTATATATAAAGATATGTGCCGCTATTAATTATACCTAATGTACTGTTGGTTAGTAGCTATAGTTCAGATCTAAATTCATATTTTTAATATCAGCGGAAACCCTTCGGTATCGTGAAGACGACATGAGCTATCTAGTCTAATTTATCTATGAGAATACACTTTAAACCATGTAAACAAATTACAAGAGGATCGTTATCGAATGAAAATTAATGCTAAATAAGAACCAGAACAGGTTTAGAGTTCAAGCATGTGTAGCACGTGTTTAAACATGTGCAACACACTAATCCAAAAATTGCAAGCTCGTACGCAAATAAACCGAAGAGAATTTGCCAATTACTTCTTAAAGAGACAGACCGGCTATGTAAGGTGTTAAACTGAGTATGCAGTGTTGTGGACAAATTCTGTATGATTCATTCGAGACATATAAAACTGTTTAAAGATCTGTAAATCCTGAGTTTGAGCACAAAGTCGACGTTTAAAATCGTACTTTTTAAAATAATTTTTTAAAGGGCTGTCCCTTTAATACCAAAATCTATAGTTTTATAGTTCTATATAATGTACATATCTAGGGCTACAAAAAATCATAAATGAGTTAGTGAGGTCAAATCAAAGACCAAGATGTGTGTGACACTTCAAAGCCGACCCAGTCTTGAAAAATGGTGCAAATGTTCATGGCAGTTTGAATCTATGTGGTGACCGGTAAACTTTTACACCTTTTCAGATTTATTGCTAGGCTCAAAACTTTAGAAGCCAATTAACTGTTATTTATTAAATTATCTAAATGAAACTGGTCCGCCTGTTAATAACAAAAGAGAATCTACATAAATATGCATTGCATATAAACAAATTAGTTAAATCTTAACACCCAGCACAACAAGAACTAGACATAAGGTATAGATACGTATACATGCGTCAAATTAAGAAGCTTAGTTTTAACAGCGCTTCGCGCCTCATTAATTTTCTTGTTTTTTTATTCAGTCTTTTCCACAAATTCTGATTTTCTGAACACATTATCATTCCATGGTAGACCTTAGATATTTCAAAATAAGATTTCTGTTCGCTAAAATAATAATAAACATTAAAGATTTCCACGATTAGGTTGAAATAATATAGGGATTAGATATTAGAGATTAGATTAGAGATTCATACTAAGTTATACAAACCAAAAAATAGATAAAAAAGTCCATTTTTAAATTTGAAATTACCGTGTTTTTTTCTATTTTATATACCTTGGTACACCTTTTATAAATGGATGCTGTCAGTTGCCTCAAATATGATGACAACCATAACATGAGACGTTGTTGACGACTTTCTTTACATATAACGAACGACCTGCTTCCTTACAGGTGTTGTCGATGTAGTTTTAAGCAAGTAATGGGCGGTAATGTAAACACAAGACGGATGTCGAAGCCTGACATGGGATCCATCTTTCACATAAAAAATCAATGAAATATTCTGGTCATAGGAAACTATTATGTGAATTATAATTATCCATGATATCTTTTTAGAAATTAGAAATCCATGATATCTTTTTAGTAATTAGATATCCATTATATCTTTTTAGAAATTAGATATCAACGATATCTTTTTAGAAATTAGATATCCATGATATCCTTTTTAGAAATTAGATATCCGTGATATCTTTTTAGTAATTAGATATACATGGTATCTTTTCAGTAATTAGATATCCATGATATCTTTTTAGAATTGGGTATCCATGATATCTTTTTAGAAATTATATATCCATGATATCTTTTTAGAAATTAGATATCCATGATATCTTTTTAGTAATTAGATATCCATGATATCTTTTTAAAAATAGATATCCATGATATCTTTTTAGCAAGTAGATATCCATGATACCTTTTTAGTTATTAGATATCTATGATATCTTTTTAGTAATTAGATATCCATGACATCTTTTCAGTAATTAGATATCCATGATATCTTCTTAGAAATTAGATATCCATGATATCTTTTTAGAAATTAGATATCCATGATATCTTTTTAGAAATTATATACATCCATGACATCTTTTCAGTAATTAGATATCCATGATATCTTTTAGAAATTGGTTATTTTTAATTTTAGTTTATCAGTAAATTAGATATTCTTGATATCTTTTTAGAAATTAGATATCCATGATATCTTTTTATTACCAAGCCCTAGGGCAGTTTAGTCTAAAAAATGGGTGAACAATTTTGTACAACTGTTAGGACCGCTTTTTGAACAATTTATTAATTTTTATATTTATAGTGTGTTTATGAACATCAATATAATACATTTATGAACAAATATTGTCGTGTGTTTATGAACATGTATATAGTGGTGTGTTTATGAACATCAAAATAATAAGTACATTAACATGTTTTGTGGTGTGTTTATGAACATTTTAATATAATAAATATATGAACATGTTTTGTTGTGTGTTAATGAACATCAATATAATAAATATATGAACATGTATTGTGGTGTGTTTATGAACATCAATATAATAAATATATGAACATGTATTGTGGTGTGTTTATGAACATCATTATAATAATACATGAACATGTGTGGTGCGTTTATGAACATCAAGAAAATACATTTATGAACAAATATTGTATTGTGTTTATGAACATGATTATAATACATATATGAACATGTATAGTGGTGTGTGTTCATAAGTATTATATATTTATGAACCTTAATATAATATTTTTATGAACATATAATATTAGCATATTATCAGTTTATCTGGTAATATCCTATGTTATCAAGAAACTTCCTGTAAAATTAATATTTTGCTCACAGTTCTAAATTTTAGCTTCAGTATACAGCTCTATATAATCAAAGTTATCTTTATAAAAAGTGGTAAACTCTGTTTGTTTGTCCGATCATAACTCAAGACCCTCTGGACCGATTTTCCTCAACTCGGTAGAACCATGATAATGTGATAAGCGTGGTTAAGCTTAGTAGAGAGGAATGACTTTTAAAAGCAAAATATTAGTTTCCATGCAAACTTGGGTTCCTAAGCCTGTAGATAAACGTGCTAACTGTTGTAGTAAAGTAGGTTTTTAAAAATTAATTTAATTAAAAGCTAAAACTCTGCAGAAATGCTAAATGTTTAGGAATTTTAAAAGGTTAATTTTTATGTAAAGTTTTAAACAATCATTTATGGTTGTCTTCGAGTCTTATCCATAAATTAATTTACGATCTAAAATTTAAAGAAAAGTAAAAAAATCGTTTAAACGTTTATTTTAAGTAAATCAAAGCTTATCATGCCAGTAAAGATACAGAACACAAATTAAATTAAGATTAAATGAGGATATTAATCTTAAGGTTGGTTATGAAGTCTCGTCCTTTGTGGGTAACCCCGTGACAAACTCCTGAAAGACAAACTCCTGAAAGACAAACTCCGGAAAGACAAACTCCGGAAAGACAAACTCCTGAAAGACAAACTCCTGACGAGACAAACTCCTGACGAGACAAACTCCTGAATTAAATAAACTATAAGGTTTGAGAACCCAGCCTTGACTGAAAAATAAACTTTCTCTATGAAATTCATCCCACCCAACCATGCTAAACAATGTTTAAACTGTGAGACAAATCAATTAAGCAGTTCAAGAGTTATGATCGGACATAAAAACCTTCAGACAAACCGACAAACAGAGATCACTACTATATAAATTTTTATTTGTTCCTAGATGTTGGATTGTTTGATTCAGTTCCTCAAATATTGGCCGTACAAGAGAGCTTTTCACGTCTTTGCAATCCTTGTCGTAGAAATAGTTTTTATTATTATTTTTGGATTGTACGGCAGGTAAATATAGGGACTGTACACTGTACACGGTACACTGTACACTGTACACGTAATTTCAAGATTTATTTATAGACATGGAATGTCTGGTTCGAAATGAAAATCTTTGATTTGCCAATGAAAAGTTTTGGATATTTAAAGAAAATCTGGGGGTCTCCGATCAACCGCTTGGGGTCTCCGATAAAAATCTTGGGATCATCAATAAAAAGCTTAAGGCCTTTAATGAAAAGCGGGGTCACCAATGAGGTGGCCCAGAGAGTATCCCAAAATTAGCTTTCTTCCCAGACTCCCAAATAATCTTAAAAAAACCATTGTTTCAATTTTGTCATTCACTCACTTAAGTAAAATTCAGGAGTTCGCATCAACCCGTGATGTATTCTACAGGGGTACCCATAAAAGATGAGACTTCAGAGACGGCACAGCGCGTAATGTTTTTTAGATTATTTCTTCGATCCAGGGTTTTCTGCATTTTATACATTCTTATTTTGTTTCCAAATAATTGAAAAGACTCTTTTTGAACGAATAGAAAAATACAACCTTCAAATCGTCATAACTAAGTAGTTATTGAAATCTCATCTTTATGGGGTAACCCTGTGTCTGTAATAAAACTTATTGATATTTGAAGGTACCCGCCTGAGCTAAAATCTGAAAAATTCAACGCACTTTTCCCGATCTTTGCAGGTAATGGTTTATCAAAAAATAAATAAAGAATTTTAACTCTTTGTTTCTTACTCCATTGCACAATGCACAGCTGACATAAAACTAAAAATAATTATAAAAAATTATAGCACTTTTTTGTTTTGTCGTTTTTAATGAAAATATGTTTTCAGATTCAAACACCAATCGAATTAGTCAATTCAAATACCTTTTTTTTTGAAAATCTTATGATCTACAAATGTTTTTGTTATGATGTCCATCATTGCATGTAATGATATACATATGTTTTTGTTATGATATGCATCATTGAATGTTATGATTTACATATGTTTTTGTTATGATGTGCTTCATTGCATGTAACGATCTATATATGTTTAGTTTACATGTGCACAGCATGATCAATATTTTGTATAAATTGACACGTTATAAACTATGTTTTGCTTGATGTGCACGTTATGAACTATGTTTTGTTTAGATGTGCACGTTATGAACTATGTTTTGTTTAGATAGGCACGCTATGTACTATATGTCTTATTTAGATATGCACGCTATGAACTATATGTTTTGTTTAGATGTGCAGTGTGCACGTTATGATCTATGTTTTGTTTAGATGTGCACGTAATGAACTATGTTTGTTTATATGTGCACGCTATGATCTATGCTTTGTTTAGATGTGCATGTTATGATCTATGCTTTTTAGATGTGCACGTTATGACCTATGTTTTGTTTAGATGTGCACGTTATGATCTATGTTTTGTTTGATGTGCACGTTATGATCTATGTTTTGTTTGATGTGCACGTTATGATCTATGTTTTGTTCAGATGTGCACGTTATGATCTATGTTTTGTTTAGATTTGTGCACGTTATGATCTATGTTTTGTTTAGATGAGCCCGTTATGACCTACGGTTTGTTTAGATGTGAACGTTATGAACTATGGTTTGTTTAGATATGAACGTTATGATCTATGGTTTGTTTAGATGTGAACGTTATGAACTATGGTTTGTTAAAATGTGCAGTGTGCACGTTATAATCTATGTTTTGTTTAGATGTGCACGTTATGAAATAGGGGTTGTGTAGATGTGCAGTGTGCACGTTATGATCTATGTTTTGTTTAGATGTTCACGTTATGATCTATGTTTTGTTTAGATGTGCACGTTATGATCTATGTTTTGTTTAGATGTGCACGTTATGATCTATGTTATGTTTAGATGTGCACGTTATGATCTATAATTTGTTTAGATGTGCACGTTATGATCTATGTTTTGTTAAATGTGCACGTTATGATCTATGTTATGTTTAGCACGTTATGATCTATGTTTTGTTTAGATGTGAACGTTATGATTTATGTTATGTTTAGATGTGCACGTTATGATCTATGTTTTGTTTAGATGTGCACGTTATAATCCATGTTTTGTTTAGATGTGCACGTTATGATCTATCTTGGTATTGGATTCATCCTAACTTTTCTTCGGTAAATATTTCTAAAATATCTGTTTTTAAAAATCAAAACTTTCTTAACAAGATTTTTATAATTTTAGAAAATACAGTTTAAGCGCAGTTACGCTTTGTCTTCTTATTGGATCTATCTCTCTTCAATGGTATATAATTTCTGCAGGTACAAAATAAAAAACATGAAAAATTATACAAAAATCTAAAATCTATAATAATGCAAACTTCTATCAGGATATTGTCATGTCTGGAACTACAAAAAAAGTGTTTTAGTGAATCTGTTCTAAGGAACCCAAAAGGCCTAGGCATTAGGTTGCGACACTTCAAAGTGGAACTTAATCATAATTTTCTGAGCTTTTTAATCCATTTTTAATGGGAGTTGAGTAAAACAAAATGGGGTAAATAATCTTTCAACTAACATCAACACTCTCTGGTTTAATTTTTTTTAATGACAAAAGAAACAAATTTCTTTAGCAGAAATTCAACTTAAAGTCGCTCTCAACGTAATTTCAAGTAAACCTCCATTTAAAGAGTTGGGTTCTCTATAAACATGTAATGGCCTAACAACTCAGAATATGTTATTGTGTTATTGTTTTGATCAGTTACATGATTTCTCAGTATAAACAAGAATGAGGTATTGTTCAGTGTTAAATTGAAACAGTTTTAAAAATACACGTTTGATTAATTGAAGTAAAGATAAAAAGATAACAATGGAAAGCTTGGAAAGGGAATCCTCAAAAACCCCCCCCCCCCAAGATTTCTGAACATCTGTACATTTATGCATTGTACTGCACAACCTCCACGGTTCAACACTTCCCAAACCAAATGCTGCCACTTATAGCCTATAACAAGCACGAAACCATTGCTTTTCTATTTATTCTCGGAGGTTTAAAGGGTACCATTGTGAATCAAAAATGTAACTCAATAGATATTCAATTGAAATTACGCCAACAGCTGTCCGTTAACCCGTTATCTCTGTATTATAAATTATTGTTCAGGTTTATTAAACTACATGAGCGGCGTGACAACTGAATTCTCCGTAACAGTCGACACCACTAATCTTCTTTTCGGAGACTTTGCTGCAGCTACCGTTCTAATCTCCTTCTGTGTAGTTATGGGGAAAGTGACAGTGCTTCAACTCCTTATCATGACATTAGCGGAGGTTTAAACTTTTTTAATGAAAAATTTTTGTCAATCAATTACTTTGATTTATCTATTTAAAAATATAAAGAAAAAATAGATTTCTTTACTTTTCCAGAAACATCGGATACCCTATTTCAGCATTTTTTTATTTAATAAGAATTTGTGCAGCTTTGTTCAGAAGTCCAAACTAAAAAATATAAAAATGCGAAGAATCCGATTTGTTCCCTGCTAAGACGTGACATTTTATGCAAAATCCCCAGAGGGTATGGTCCAGCATAATAGCATTGAACGTGTATATTGTAAATACTTATCTCTCCAACCTGATGTCATAGATATTTGATATTTTAAACTACAAATTCTGTCAGATAAAATATTCTAAGTTTGAAATATCAAAAGTTTACACTATTAACTTCCAAAGAATAAAAGGGATTAGAAAGTTTGAGTTTGTGGCAAAAACTCAATTTCTTTATAAAGTCCCTAAATGGCTTTAACATATCAGAACTTCCTTTCACAATCTGAAAACTCTAAATTGATAATCATCTCCCCATACACTTTTATATTTTCTATATTTAGGTACTGCTTTATGTCGGTAACGAGTACATTGGAAGATCTCTTCTTTTTGGTAATATTATAAATAACCTCCCCCACTCCCCCACCCCTACAGATTTACATATGTTTTTGT